ACCTATTCTACTGTGCGATCAATAAAAAATGTTGCAGTGTTGACGGAGGACGGGGCATTTGCCCTTTTTTTTTCGACCCCACCCCGGGGGATTTGACAGCTCAAAAGTCCCCACCCCACGGAATTTGCAATCCAATGCAAAAAAAATGCCAATGCCCGGGGGTCAACCGGGGGGGGGGTGCTAGGCGCAGGTGGAATTGACTGATGCATTATTTTAGAGTGAAACATGCTACATCGAGTTGATAGCCTAAATATATGTACACCCAAAAAATTGCAAACATCTTCGATTACATTCAAGAGCCATAATGGCTCTTGATCGCGGTAGATTAGGCCTCGAAAACAAATTCTTGGAAAACAAATCAGGCCGAATTTTTTTAGTTCGACAGGTTTACTTTACAAATTCTTGCCAACAAATCTGAGGGTGTGTAAACCAGCCTTTTATACTTTTTGTACATCACATCTGAGGTGAAACAGTACTATTTATCATACAGACCTCAGACAGAATACGGTATTTCACAATTTTTTAAGACAAATTGCACTAAGTCAATGTTCAGGACGATCAATCGTGGATTTTAGCGAAACCGTTCAAAAACTTTCCAAAATCACCCATACGGCCACCCGGTTCTCAATTCTAGTGCGAGCTGTCAGTGTGGTCGAGTGTTTAAATGAACTTTAATAGATAATAGAGATACGCTTCAATATAATAACGAATTTATTATCATTATTAACGATGTGTAATCTTATAAAGCGTTTGATACGCGCGACATTTTCAAGTACTCCTGCAAGCGATGTTCATGAACGATGAAAACAAACGGCACGGACAAGTGATTAAAATTGCAAGAGAGACTACTAACAATCAATAAAAGAAATATAATTCGGTGAAACATTTACAGAGACAACAATTTTCATTCACGAAGACAAGTATTAAAGTGTCTCTAAAAATCTTGTGTCCTTAAGCTTAAAGCTTAAGCTTAAGTTTATTTTGTGTTACTATCAGCCGGCCTCCCGGTGTTTGCTTTTTTCAAGGATGAACTCCTCGAAGCAAGAAAATCGCTCAAATTTTTCTTTCTACAGCTAAATTTGTAACTAAATATTCTTCGGAACGTTTTCTTGCTATTTGCGGTGAGAAAATATATCTGAAGGCCTTTTAAAGTTCCGTAAGCTTGTATCAAACCTGATACTAGGTCAGATCATTGACTCAAATCTTACATCTTAAATAAACTTGCCGCATAAACTGTGCTTGACTTCATGAAATTAGATATAACAAAAACAAACATCAAATACAATAATTACTCAGGCTTACCATTCGAGATTCGGTTCCTCAAAGATATCAAGGAAGGCCACAGTTGCTTGAGACTTTTAAACCCTCTTACTCATTAAGCAAGGTGAAAAACGAAAAAGATGCCATCCGAAATCGGAATACCGAATTTTGACAAGCGACGCATTTCTCAACCAAAAACCCAATAAACAACCCACCCATGAATAACAGAAGACTTTTGATAGCAGCTGTATTTCATTTTGCACATCCAGTGGAAAAAGACAGTTAAAAACATCACAAGTTGATACAAAACTCTGTCAGCTTCAGCTGTCAAAGTAAACAACTTTCAAGATACTGCATAAATTTTACGCATGAACTCACCTGTCAAATTTTGACCAATCAGAGTACAAAAATTGGACGTAGAGCGTGACCAACGCGTGACCATGGTAAGAAAAGGTCTTCCCCGCCTGTATTTTTTTAAAAAAATGGCTGAACTTTTGTGTCCGAGGTCAGTTTGAAATCAAAATCTTAACAGTGCGGGGCCATAGTGACATAAACACAACAGATTTCATATGAATCATTGGAAAAAATAAACTTGAGCCTGCGATCATTTGAAACTGGTAATTTGTCAGCGGATAACTTCAAAAAAGTACTCGACCTCGATGGGTCGACACTTGAGCCCGCGGTACGGTCAGATGATACTGGTCAGCGGATATCCTGTTTTGAAAGCTGTCAATTGATCACAACATTCATGTGCAATTAGTTTTCTCTTGGACTCCCAAACTAGCTAGAAAGTGTGAGAGTAAACATTGGTTTCCCTGTGGTGCGGACGGTCGGCGTACGGTCACGTGATTACCAAATTTTCTCAGATGGGTAGATTACCACATTTCCTTAGCTATGGGGCTCCGTCCATGCGCGCGCTTTGCTATCAACAAGCTTACTAAGTTCTGATGTCAGATTTTAAATTTATTATTTCTTAAATTTTCCTGATGATATTTAATCATAGGTTTCCAGGTGTAACAACAGGGCTTACGTTCAAAGTGTTTGATTTGTGATCAATAACGATTTCGTCTAAACCAAATGCCTTTTCACGGTTTAAGGCTTGATATAGTGGCTTCCAACACTTCCGTAGCTGAAAGCTTTTTGAAACCAAGTCCTTCGCTGCTTTTCTTACCATCCGATCTGAATTTCCTGTTTGTTACCAATTTCCCATTTAAAAGGAGTTGGTGAGATACTTTACCTTCATTGACTGAAGGCTTAAAAGAAGGGTGGAAAGAAATGTTCTTGACTACTTGGAAGGGTCTACACAATTTTTTTTCCAATCATGTTAACTTACGTTCCCCATCACTTTTCTAATAATGCTTCTCTATCTCGGTCCTTTCTTGCCAGTTGCAATGGATTGCGCCATTGCCTTTTGAGTGAGTTACTAGCAAGGTTGGTGCAGTGGTGAGAGCACTCGCTTTTCATTAATGTTGCCCGGGTTGAAATCCCGGTGTCGACGCCATATGTGATTGTTTTTGTTGTTGGTTCTTTCCTTTTCCCTGAGAGGTTTTTCTCCAGCTGCTACGGTTTTCCAATTTACATTCCAATTTAATCAAGAATGGTAGACAAAGAATCATTGAACGTAATGTGGATGTGTTTAACCATTAAATGGTTATTCATTTGTAATTATTCATTTTTTTAATTTACTAGACAGCCAAAGCAATTGAGAAATTTTCCGAGCTCATGAGAATCAATAAAGTAACTTTAATGACCTAAAAACAGGTATTTTGTTACTACTTAGTACTGTGTATACTTTATTGCGAGAGAGTCAACCTCAGTGATGTGTACAGTACCACAGATGCGCAAAGAACAGATGAGGGCCAGAATGATTAGCAGCATTCATGTAAAGCTTTTGCATTTGCCGGCAAGCAGTTATTATTGTTCTCAAACTCAAGAACAGTAAATAAAGAAATCCACCTTTTTTCTTTTGCAGATGTCAGTGCAAGGAAGAATTTTGCTTGGATTAATTTTGGTGACAGTGTGGACAGTTGAAGGTAAGTAAAATTATGATTCGTTTCTATTGTTCTCTTGTAAGGCTTTTTTCTCCTTGTTTTGTAGTCATAACAAAGCAGCATAGGTCTAGAACAAAATAATTCATTAAAACTGCGGTGTTTGTATGGCCAATCACATTATTTTGAGTGCAGTTGATAATAAATGTGACCAATAAATTTGTCGGTGACAAGCAAAATGCTGGGGATAAATTGACACGCTGTTAGCCAATCGAAATGCAGAAATTGTTGTTATACAGTTATATATAACAACATTACTCCATGTGTGCTTATTTTCTTGTAGCATGATGTACATCAGCCGCTACCATAATCTGTCTGAGAAATCTGTAAAACAAAAACCATATTTCATTTTATTAGATCTTCACGTATTACCAAACTTTTTTATTGTTTCCTTCAAAAAGTTGTAAGATAATCTAGGACGGGTTACTCCGTCCAATCAAATAGGCCCAATTACTAAATAGCGAGTCTTTCCTTGGTAGCGTACCTTTTAGAACCTTTCCGTAAACCAAACAAGCTTCTTAATTAACCACAATTGAATCAATCCAAAACTTAAGTAATCATTTAAATAATAGTTAGTTAATTCCCCTTTTTCTAAAACGTAACGTCGACAAATGCTATGCTTTCAACTATAACTATAGGCGGAGAGTTTGTTCTCAACGGTTGCGTTTGATTGGCTCTTTGTGAGTCTCTATGTTTGTCAACCAATCAAAATGCAACTGATTTCCTTTGTTTTTCTGCATTGGTTTACCTCGTTACCAATGGCGCTACTTTTTAAAGAACTGATACTCAGACAAAGAAAATGAAATAATTATAGACCTTGTCACGGTTTTCGACGCCATCTTGACGAGTAGACAAACGCGTGAGAAATTATAGTGTTTGTATGAGAATCTTATGTCGAATAATTTCCGTAAAACGGCTGTTTTGAAAAAAATATTAATTGTAAACTAAAGCTTCACTCTTAAGGATTCTACTGAAAAAATTTGAGGGCGTTACATGCGCTAGAAGAGCTTGAGTCACTTTTTAAAATTTTCTATACAATTGTAAGTAAAAATTTCCCGGGAAAAATTGCAGACAAATATATGGAAAATCTAAAGCAAGCGCCTGGAGAATATTTAAGCACGGTAACGGCCCACAAAATTTGTTAGTAAAATCCTTTGCTGTGTAGCTTTAGTTTACAATTCATATTTTTTTTCAGGACAGCCGTACGCGTTTTACCGAAATTATTCGACATAAGATTCTCATACAAACACTGTAATTTCTCACGCGTTTGCCTACTCGTCAAGAAGGCGTCGAAAACCGTGACAAGGTCTATTAACGAATTCCTCTCGTTTGTTTGGCTTTTGTCATAAACATATATTATTTTTGACTCAACAAAATAACAAAAGTGACGAAAGTCAAACAAATTTTGCAAATCAGCTACTCTGAAGTCTTTTTAGCAATCTGTTTATCATGAATGATCACTATTAATAGAGCTTACGTTTACAAAAAAATACCTAAATACACGATCGATCATGACATGACTTTATTGCAAGTCATCATCAGCCATCAAAAAAAAAAAATCAATTCTCTTCTGATGCTACGGAACCGAAGACAATTTTCATTTGTAAAAAGATTTTGAGCGTCCCAAGTTAGCCTGTCAAGAGAGTAAAATTTGTGGGAGTTTTAACATTGATTTTCGCACATTTATTTGCAGTTGTTCAACCGTGTTTGTTTTCTGTTAATGGCTCCAGTGGGTTCATCAGCTCCAGTGGAGCTAAAAACTACTACCGTTGTACATGGATCATCACTGTACCATCTAACCACACCGTCAAACTGAAATTTACGATATTTCGTCTATCTGATGTTCCCTGGCTATTAAGTGGACCCTGGTTTGGTCAAGCTAAGATCCACGTCCATGACGGAAAAAGGAAAACTGATACCGTACTGGGAGTTTTTACTGGGGCAAGACAGCCCTTCATCATACAAACAAGTGGTCGGTTCATGATGTTCACTTTACAAAAATACTTTCGCTGGACCCCATGTAACTTTAAGGGAATTTTTATAGGTTCAAGAAAAGGTAAGCGAAAGTAATTAGATATTAATAAGAGAATGAGAACTGCCTAAGAATGCTAATTAGCTCCTCATACTCTTGGACGTCGCAACTGATGTGGAATAACCGAATGCGTCTCAAAAGCGATGACAATTTTTCATACCTTCAAGTAAATTAATAAATTAAAACTATATTAAAAAATGTTCTTCTGATTGTGACAATTAAAGCCTGTCACCGTTCAATACTACATAAAGAGAAAAGCTTAACGAAAGAAAAACTGTAAAACAGAGGAATATTTTACAGAGCAGTCATCGATAAAGATAAATAAATAAGTTTTACACTCTAAGAAAAACAAAATGAAAGAAAAACGATTAAGATGTTATTCCCCCTTGATCAGTAACACTTAATCCTTCCTCTGACGGTCTGGTTAAAATTGAATGAATGAAAAAAAAAATGCGAGAAATGTAGCGTAAATGTAGTATACCAAGGAAACCTTTGCTTCTCAGAAATAACCAACTGTGACCAAAACAACAAAAATGCATAATTCCATTCAACTACTGGCCCGGCGGCCTTACTTGAAGGTGCTTTCACAGTTCATACATCAGAGCATTGACTCCAGAAAACGTTGTCATGTAAACAAACCCCTAGCCTGAAGTGCTTATTTTATTGTCAAAAACGTTCTGGGAAGTTGTAGGAGTAAAATTTTATAGTACTATTAGATCAAACTTTTTCTATTGACAGTTCAAGAAAACTGACGGTTTATTGGTATATGATGTTAAACTTAGTTTAAATGCGCAACGATTTGATGACGCGATTCAAATCAAGTACGTGATATCATAAATGCGGCTCCCCTGTATTCTTTCTATCAGTCCTTACTAACTATCAGTTGATTGTTTCCCGAGTTTGTAAAATGGGAAGTTTTACAACAATGTGAGATAGTATTGAAACGCTTAAATTTCAAAGGGATGGCCTGAAACGATAACACGAGGCATATCTGACTTACGGAAAACCAATTTCAGTTACAGTGTAAATTAAAAGTATACCCGTACTTATCTCAAACGTCGAACTCACGAATACCCTCCAATCTAGCTACTAACAATTTTGAGTATCTTTTAGCGTGATGTTCTACAAGAGAGTAATAACTTATCTTTTGGGAGTCTTATTTAAGTAGATTTAATCAACTCTAATTTAATTAACTTGCAACCTGATATGACTTGAAATCGGGACATCTTAAAACCTGCTAAATTTTCTTTTTCAGAAAAGCCGAGGATAATGGTACCGTTGAAGGAGTTGCGAACTGTACCAGAGCATTATCTCTGGTTTCTTCTGGAAGGTACCCCACCGATTAACTTGACTCTAATGAATACATCAACATCTTTGAAGGGCGGTTTGGTCATAAAAGGATTCCAACTAAATCGGACGGGTACCTACCAATACACTCTGCTGGCAGAAAATGAAGAAGGAAGTGATTCAAAAACGGTTGAAGTAACCGTTGTCGGTAAGGATTCAATAACAATTATAGTAGTTTGCACAAACACTGGTGTTGGATTTAGTTCTTATTTTGTTCGGTGGTGATTCACTTCCATTCGGTGAAAAAAGAAATGCAAGAATATTTAGACTAGTTGCCCTTGTACATATTTCGCCATTGTTTTGAACACGGGTAATTTGTGTCCATTAAGGTTTGCAAACAAAAAAAGATTTACCAAAATATAGAAAATTTGGGTTTCATCCTTAGTCAATGAGTACACATGAAAATTGGTTATTGACTTTTAAGTGTATCGCTGTCTTGAAAAATTCCTTTACAAATTGCCTCATTCATGCGTCTATTCTTTTTGCAGATTGCAAGCATTTGTGTAACAGTACAGGTTCGATAACACGTTTTGGCCAATTAACTAACGAACACGACTGTAGAAGAAGCAACATAACAAATAACTGGAATTGCATTCCAACTACAGCCACTAAATTGTAAGTGTATTTTCTACTTTACCTTGGATTAATTGACCTATTGTTTAATTATTTTACAACTTCGGACCCCTTTTTATGTTTTGTATAGACTATCAAATGCTCCAAAATGATCCCAAAAGAAATAAAATATTTTCTCAATACTACTTGTTTTATTTTAACGACAAAAGGACGGAGCTTTCTAGTTATGAGCGCTTTTGAAACTGACGATCAACCTGCGACTTTCAAATGAGCGCGTATACAACTGAGAAATTTTTACGCATTCACCTTCTTAAACGTTGTCTAAAGCTAAGGCACGCTGTTGAATAAGATGCACATGGGTCAATCAGTGAGATTACAGGGCGACAAATGTCGAAATAAATGACACAGCTTCATCAAAACCTGATGCTGGCTCTTTCAACCTTCCGTATTGTTCTGATTGCTCAAGCCACCGTGAACACATTCAAGGTTTTTTTTACACCAAGGAATCACAAAGCTTTGTAAAACCTTCGTCCTTCAAATCGCAGGCACTCAAATTCTCCACAAAATCAATAATAAACGCTGTTCTATCGACTAATTTATTTATTATTTTTTTACACTTTGTCATGTTCGCGGCCTTCAATATCGTTGCCTTTTACACACCCATATGCAAACACATTCTCGAATCCCTTGACTAGATCAAACGAAGGGCTTGCGCTCAAAACGTCTGCTTTTCAATACTTTTACGGTTCTAAAATTGACTTAAGGCCATGTGGGACACCTATCTATGAGGCAAATTTTGCTTGTGTTTCATCTTTCAAAACGCTTATATGTTGGCTCTCTTAGAGGCGATTTAGATATGTTTTTGCAGAGACGTTATGAAATGATGAAAGTTTAGGAGAAGTGTTTCTTTTTTCGGTAGATCGCTAGATCGCGCTTTACAGTGATGCTTAAAGTCACAGTTGTCCAAACTAGGAAACCGTGATTTTATGTCCAAGTTTGCCGGAAAAATAGAATACAGCACTGTGTGATTTTATTAGTAGATACCAGTCGTTTTACTTCGTGCATACACTTTAAGTAAATGCATAAAAATGAGCCTATGGTGTCCCCCTATAACGATTTTAATAATCATCATCATCATCATCGTCATCATCATTATCATCATTATTATTATCATCATTATTGTTATTATTATTATGTCGCAGTATGAAACTTTGGAATGCTGTCCACACTATGAGTAGTATGGGGCGCATAGCGTAACCTACACCACTTGAGAAGCTATACTCAGAAGTAAAAAAAGGTCGATACGAAACCTAATACGATCCTAAAATACATAGTGATATGAATGTCTCTACTTAAAAAGCTAATTTAGAATATTATTAAATTCTGATACTCTGTAAAACCTTCGCTATCTCTACTAAAAGCTTATTTATAATAATATTAAACTCTAATGTTCTAAAAAATCTAAATAAAAACGTCAGCATGCTTGTGTTTCTAGATTTCTAGAGAAAAAACAAAAACCTAAAAACTGAAGTCCTTAGCGTCCTAACTAAGTATTTATCTTAAATGTTCTGGCAATGTTTAAAGTGTTTGAGATGACCGACTTCTGCATCCGCTCAAGTACGCTCCGTGCTCTCGCTCCAATTAGCTTCCTCACCGACTTCTCTAGGTGTTTAGAGTAACCACCCAGTACGTCAATTATTACGATGTACTGTTCAACCCTGTAACCATTGTATCTCTGCTTCAGCTCCCACATCATGGGCCCATACTTGAGTGTCTTTTCCACATCTTTCTTAGCTCTACTCTCAATCCATGGGCAGCTCATTTCAATTGTGCAGACTTCTTTCCTCTCGTGGCTGACAAGTCGCGCGTCGATCCGATTTGCTCTAACTTCGTTCTGCTCTGCATAGATGGGAATATCCCAGAACGCCTCACTCGTGGTGTTCTGGTAGGCTGGTTTTGGCATCACCGGTGATGAGTACCATGGTGGAACCTCTTTTATTAACCCATGCTCTCGCAGGAGCTCAAAAAACAGAATCTTCAAAGCTGCATTATGCCTGTATAGGTACTTGGTTTGTGCCAGGGAGGAACATCCAGCCAATATATGTGCAACGCTCTCAGCTACCTTCCCACATAACCTGCATAGAACTTCGCCGTCGGTGGAGGTTTGCGTCTTCTCCTTTGTGTAGAGCTTCGTAGGTAACAACTGCTCATTCAATTCATACATGCCCGCGATGGTATATGTAGGGCATGTAGCCTAACCTTTTAACCATGCAAAGCAGCTGGTTATGCTTAGGCTCTCATCTTCCCTTCTGATACGGAATAACTTTCCTTGCCACTTTTTGTCTTTAGCGATCTCCAAGATCTGCTTCTCTTGAGATTGCTTCAACAGATTCCCAGCTCTTGCTGCAGTTACCACCTTTCCTTCTGTTGTAACGCACACGAGATTTAGGGTATCAAGCTGAAGTGTGATGTTGAGTTCTTCAGCGTACTTAGCTGCTTCCTTTACGAGCGACTGGTGGCCTGATGCCATGGCGTGTTCTTCAAATTCTCTAACTGCTTCCACAGTCTGGTCCCGGTTCTGATACAATTTCAGTAGCGATTTGATTTTAGTGATCTTGTACTCGTATTTGACTCGCAGGCCTCTACTCCCTTTCTCCCTCGGTAGATATAACAAAGAAGTCATTATTATAATAATTATAATTATTATTATTATTATTATTATTATTATTATTACTATTACTATTATTATTATTATTACTATCGTCGTTGTTGTCACTAAAATACAATTATATCCTCTATCTATTGTTCTAAAATAACTCGAATTGGTAAGGTAGTTAGCCAAGATTGAACATCTCGGATTGTTTTATTTTGTTAGTTCGTTAATTTGTTCGTGTAAGATCCATGTGGTATTTACATTGGCAAGCAATTAATCAATTCAGATCTTCGATCGAATTTTTTTTGCTCAGGCCGTTTGCATGATGCGGTTGACTTACTTCACTTTAATTTTGCTGCAGGGATTTATCGTCAAGCAAGATCGAGAAGCTCCCGCCAGGAATATTCACCAATCTCTCTTTCATGGAAAAGCTGTAAGATAACCCGTGTTTCGTTTATTTTATTATTTGAGGATAGGATAGTATACAGCTATCACCCGGAAGGGCAGGTTACGGCACAGGTAACCCAGGCTCTGTGATGGTACCACAGTACAGTTCCAGTAAAATTACAGTGTTTGTATGGGGTAAAAATATCATCCTAAAATTTCTAGGAAATACTAAATAAAGATCAATAAAACTTACTCTGCAGTTAATTGTTGTTGACCTTATTGCTCCAACGAAGAATCGTGATAATTTGCAGTAATTTGTTTAAATTCACTCTATTTACAATAATAATATACAAGGTAGGAAACACGAGGTGCCATTTTCGCCGACATGCCCTCATTCAACACAACTTTTTCCACGAAATTCGAACTCCAACGGAAAATAAACATGCCGAATCGTAGAAATAGGATAGCAGCAGATATAAAAAACAATGAAGCTTTCCCAGATAGAGAAACGAATCCCACAGACTTTGACAAACTCGAAGAATATAATCCAAACGGACCGAGAATATGCTCGCCGAAGCAGCCGGGCCAGATCAACACGCGGCCAAGAAAATGAGGCCTGGGCACTGTACAAAAAAAATCATCCCGGGAGTCCTGAGGTGACCTTTCTGATCACCGATACATCATTTGCCCAAAGCCACCCTCCCCTGCTGAAAAAATACTTAATACTTAGTACTTAGCATTTACTTTTCCCTCGCGCGAATATTTTGTTTGTACTTCGCCCGCCCCCACATAAGTTTTCTAATGGTCCGTCCCTTAATCAAAACAGGTACGGTACTTATTTGGTACATACAAGAGCCATGATGGAACAGAGACGGAAACGTCCAATCTAGCCCTTGGGATATGTGAATTTCACCAAAGTTATTTTTAGACCAATTAAACGCTTGAATTAATCGGAAATTGGTTTCCCGAGAGGTCAGTAAACTTTTATTCAGCGCTGTCAAGAACTAATTGCGTCCGGCGTGGAGGTGCGTTTCATCGACCAAAGCGATTTCGTAAACAAAGGAAATGGTTTTCTCTTGAAAGGTTCTCCCGATTGACAGCTAGATTCCACGATTTCGTTGGAAATGACTGATTTGCTAGATGATATATCAGTTTGTTAGGAGGAATTGAAGTCCGCGGACAGCGACCCTAATCAGGAAATTTCAGTTTCGGTACTGGAACCTCGGCAGGAAGAAATAAACAACCGCTAAAGGCAAACAGAGGAGTGGGAATATAATCGTCGCACAAAACAATCAAAGCAGCCAAACGTCTATTCCAGTGAAGCGACCTCGACGCGCAATTCGAACGCTAAAATACAAGCAAATCACAGCAGAAATCAAAACAGAAAGCAGCAGTAATGCTAACAAAAAAAGGACTAGAAAGTAAACTTCGTCCCATGTGTCAGAACTTCGTATCAGAACAGCTCTAACAATAAGTCATGAAAAATTTGGAAACCAATCGAAAGCTAATGGCTAATCGAAGCAATACTCGACGCACAGAACATTGTACATCTAAAACTTGTTTCTTCAGTGGAAGAGGACGCAAACAAAACCCGTCAAGTAAATTTGACATTCGAAGTTGTGGGCCCAGCTTGTCAAAACATTGCAGGAAACCATCACATTCGCGGACAAAAGAAAATCTCGTTTAGTTATTCAAATTAAACAACCTAAAACCCTTATTTAGCCGCAACAGAGAGGGTTAAGTTTGGATCAGAGAGCTTTTCCTGCCGACCACAAGCAAAACCCACAGAAAATCAATATGCGTGTCATGACCTCTCAGTGTGAAACAAGCGGCAAAAATCACATTTGTTAAATAAAAACTTAGAACCCTCCCGAGCATAATCTACCCGCCAGAAGGAAAAAAACTTATTGGAACAAGCAGCATCATTTTAAGCATTTTAGTTAATTCTTTGACTTTCGACTGTTTCTCTTCATAATTAAGCGGACTTCTTCCCACGGCTTTCTCACGAGGGAAACAGAAGTTGTGTCCTCTTCGGACAAATCATCGCTTATCCTACGCTTGCGAGTAGAAACGCTAACTTCAATTTCTTGAACTGAAATGTGCTCATCAGGCTCATCTAAATATTGATGCCGAAATCTAGACGCCTGTAAATCTGACTCGAAAAGGTCATGTTACAACATTCTGCCTGGTTTGCTTTGAGGCAGTCGCGCGTGAACTTGATGACGTTTCAAACAATGGATTAAAATGAGCGGACGTCCCAGGAATTAGACTTCCGTTTAATTACAAACTCTAAAAATAACTTTAGTGAAATTCACATATCCCGGCCAACGCCCTAAGATTCCCTCTCTGTCCCATTATGGCTCTTGCATGGCGAGCCGCAAGCCTTAGCGACCGAAATATGGGGGAAAATTTGTCCCCCATCTGACCAGAAGGCCATTGTTTAAATTCAGCCAAGCATAGACCGTTGACAGCTTGAAACCATACTTGAGCTGAAATGCGAATCTCCTTTCGTGGCCTCCTGTGAAGCTTTTTTCCGACATATCTTTCAACCGCTCATTTTACCACACACTACTAGAAAGCTGATGAGACGAACACAACTAAAAACTAGAACCTGACAGAATGAAAATCGATCCAAAACAGTGCATCCGTTGGAAAACTTGTGGCGGTGTAGAGCAGTTTTGCAACAAACAGGGGATACCTCAGAATCAATATGCATTTATTTACCGAAGATGAACGAAGTGCAGCGATTTAAATTTAATAGAATTTACATTAACTATAAATTCAAATAGTTTTTACAGTAGCTTTCTCTGGAGACAGAATTTAAATAGGAGACTTCACCGGCCTTTTCTCAAAAAAGGGAATAGTCCCGTTTTTAATTCTGCTCCCCCGAAATTTATATTTCTAAATCTAAGTAGCTTTCTTTTTCTTTTAAAAAAATTTTACGGGGGAATCGAAATGAATTTTGGTTGATTGGTTGCGTCCATCGCCGTTCCCCCTATTTGTTTTTAATAAAATACCATTGCACAAACGGTCTCTATTATTTTTCATGAGCCATAACCAACCAAGTTCCCTTGCACTAAGCGAAGGCGACGCACCCGATCGCTTGCTTTTTCAGGCGACTCACCCAGAAGAGCACGTGCAGACGGAACTTTGGTCGTTGTTTATCTTTGTTTTGAATCACTCAAAGAATAAGTTCAATTACGAATTCTAAGCGTTTAGTTGACTCAATACAATCTTAGCAAGTCCCAAACAAAAGAAAATATATTTGGCAAACCGTTTTCCAAGACTATTTTACCTTATAAACTTTCCTAAGGCCTCGTTTTTTTACAGAAAGATTCATTTAATATACACGTTTTACAAAGTCTTCTTGCACTACGCACTACGCACTCAACATAAAAGCACGTACAGAATATCCTGAACCATGTTCATGAATTTGTTTTCGGTGAATTATATCAAAGCTCTCTGCTCGTGAAAAATAATAGAGACCGTTTGCGCAGTCGTATTTTATTAAAAAAAAAAAAAAACAAATAGGGGTGAACCGCGATGGACACAACCAATCAACCAAAACTCATTTCGATTCCTCCGTAAAAATTTTTAAAAGAAAAAGAAAGCTACTTAGATTTAGGGCCTTACAAATAACGAGCAAATTTAACACTCAGCCCTTTATCTGTGAAGTACCTTAGGTAGGTCGGTAGGGGTATGGGTAACACGAGCGTCTGATATTTTTAACGCGTTTCATTTCATTTTTGATCAAAATAAAAAGCTTTTATGAGGTTTATACTTGCATGGAATAGCCCTTATTAATGGCTTTGTAGCACAATTTGCTACCACTGGGAGTCATATCCGCCTATTCGATACTAGGAAAACGATTGTTTTCATAGGCAGAGCTCCGTCCGGCTGTGTTGAGAACGCATGCAACAACGCAATATTACGCGATAATTACTGGCCTTATTGTTGTGCAAAGAGTGTTTTAACTGTAAGATAATTTTCTCATTAATTGAAACAAAGATCTGAGCATGAAGTGACAACTATAAACCGCACTGGATCATGATGAAGCATTTAAACATCGGCAACAAGCAAAACAGTTGAAAAAAGATCAGAGATATAGCAATTTGGCCACTACGTGTGTATGTGTATTATAAAACACGGACGTCTATAATTTTCAACACATTCCTTTGTTTATC